ATTATTAGTTAAAATTTTGGGAGGTGTTGAGACAGAGTCTCACTATGTAACTTTGCCTGTCTGGAACTCATAGAGATCCACCTGCCTCTGTCTCCCACGTGCTGGGATTAAAAGCATGCATCACCTCACCCAGCCTTATTAAAGATATTTTAGGGTGCTCTTGCAGACCACCCAGGTTCGATTCCCAGCACCCACATGGCAGCTAACAACCATCTGTAACTCCAGTTCCAGGGAATCCAGGGCCCTCTTCTGACCTCTGAGGGCATCATACAACATGGGTGACTTATTTACATGCAGGCAATACAGTCATACACATAAAATAAAAATGAATAAAATTTTTTTGGTCTTTTTTTTTTTTTGAGACAGGGTCTCCCTATAACCCCAGCTGGCCTGAAACTTACTGTGTAGACCAGGCTACCCTTGAACTCACATAGATCAGCCTGCCTCTGCTTCCTGAGTGCTGGGATTAAAAGCACATGCCACCATGCCTAACCAAATACAATATTTTTTAAAAGATGTTTTAGTGCTTCCTTCAGCAGCACATATTCTAAAATTAGAATGATACAGAGAAGATTAGCATGTTCCCTGCGCAAGGATGACATGCAAATTCATGAAGTGTTCTATATTTTTATGTATCCTTATATTTACAGACAAATATCCCAGTTACCATTCATCAAAGAAGCTTCTTTTGCACTAGACACAGACTATTACAGAGTATCACAACTGGTCACACACAGACAATGTCTGTGAACTGCCCAAGACTAAGTAGCACATCTCCAATGCAACCTGTGCACCTCAGGCTCATAGAACATAGACCACTAATGAATATCTCAGTTCTCATGAATGAAGTTCCCTCATGCAGTGGAGGACCAGGAACACAAAAGGTGACAAATGACCAAAGCATAGGGATTAAGAGTCTACAGAATGCTGGTCTTTGGACAGGACTCCTATATTAAACTTCACCCACCCAGGGCTCAGGAACCATTGGGGAAGAGGAGGCAGAAAGACTATAAGAGCCAGGGAAGAGTGCATGACCATATGGAAATAGAGTCTTACAAGCTCCTGGGACCTTGTTTATATGAACCTTCAGCAATGGTGTCAGCATGCAGAAGATCCATGCAAATTCAAGCAGACAAAAACCCAGCATAGAACTGGGGAAATAGACAGCTGACCCCAATCTTAGCTGAAGAAATATTGGCATCTGATTTCTGCTGGGTGAGGAAGAGCTGATCTTCCTAAAGTGAGGGACTCTATATAGGCTGAGTAGATCTCAGTAGATGAACTTGTACTGAGGAATGTCTGGGGACACTAACTTGACACAATAGGCCTAACACAAATGTATGAATTCCAGGGGCTGGAGAGATGGCTCAGCAGTTGAGAGCATTGATTGCTCTTATAGAGGACCCGGGTTCAATTCCCAGTACCCACATGGAGGCTAGGAATCATCCTTGACTACAGTTCCAGGGGAATACGAAGCCCTCTTCTGACCTCCACAGCATTGCATGACACAGGTGCACTCATACATACAGGCAATACACTCATACACATAAAATAAAAAATAATAAATTATTTAAAAAGAATAGTATTTTCATTTATGAATGCATGTATATATAGGCAGGCGGATCTCTGTGAGTTCGAGGCCAGCTTGATCTCCATTAGCAAATCCAGGCCAGCTGTGGCTACCGGGAGACCATGTCTCAAAAAGACTAAAAAAGAAAATTTTTTTTTAAAAAGTATGTATTCTGGGTGGGGGCTAAGGGAGTGGGGGAGGGAGTATAAAGATGATTAAGATGGATTAAGATGTTATGTATAAAATACACAAAAATTCAATTAAAAATTTTGTTTTGTTTTGTTTTGTAGACAGGGTCTCCCTGTAGCCCCAGCTGACCTGAAATGAAACTCACTATGTAGACCAGGCTGGCTTTGAACTCACAGAGTTCTGCCTGCCTCTGCCTCCTGAGTGCTGGGATTAAAGTCATGTGCCACTATACTCAGCTTAAAAAAAAATTAAGATATTTTAATGCATACTGTAAGCATGAGGATTAAGAGAAAGAGAGGCACTGAGGATACACCCCAGAGCATAGGGGTGGGCCTCTCAAAGAAGAACCATCCATTTTTTATTTTTAGTTTTAGTTGTTTGAGATAGTGTCTCAAGAAGTCCATGCTAGCCTTGAACTCACTCTGTGGTCTAGACTGGCTTTGAACTTGTGATCCTCCTGCCTCTGCCTCCTTAAGGTTGAGATTATGGGCATGTGCCACCATGTTTGTTTGCCTGGTTTTTGTTCTTGTTTGCTTTGTTTTGTTTTCTGAGGCAAGAGCTCACTCTGTAACCTACAGGGTAGCCTCTAACTCCACAGTTGAACTTTTGATCTTTTTGCTTTCATCTTCTGAGTGCTGGAATTACAAGTGTGCATTACCACACTCAGCTTGTTCACATTTTAAGTTTGAGATCTAAGACAAATCTATATGACTATAAAAAATGTAGCTGGGTGTGGTGATGCTTACCTTTGATTCCAGCACTCAGGAGGTTGGTGAATTTCTGTGAGATCGAGGCCAGCCTGGTCTACATAGTGAGTTCCAGGTCAGCTGGGGCTACAGCTGTCTCAAAAAGACAAACAAACAAACAAAACAAAACAAAAAAAACCTATAGAAAATTCTACTAAATAGTTTATTGTACTGATGAAATGCCATCATGCTAAACTTAGTACCTTATACAAGGTAAACAACATTCTTTTCAAAGATACATATTTATAAAAACTGACCATATACAAGGCCTAAAGAAATGTTCAATTGCCAGGCGTGGTGGCACATGCCTTTAGTCCCAGCACTCGGGAGGCAGAGGCAGGTGGATCTCTCTGAGTTTGAGGCCAACCTGGTCTACATAGCTAATTCCAGGTCAGCTGGGGCTACAGGGAGATCCTGTCTCAAAAAGACCAAAAAAAGAAAAGAAAGAAATGTTCAATTAATTTGGAAAAGTAACTTGACCAAGCCACCCACCTAAGAGGTACTGGATAGAATCCTAATCCAGATCTACCTCTTTACTTTTCTCAAAAATTTAATATTCTCCCAGGTCAAATAAAATTCCTTTCCAAGTACTGATTGTAGAGATAGCATTGTAATTTAGTGGTAAAGGGCACCACTGGCACAAAGCCTAGAACAGCATCAATATTCAACCGGTGTTAGATAAATGAACAAATGAACCCATGAAATAAAAGAGACATGGCATGGAATTTTGGATCTGACATGGATATATTCAAAGGCCCACTTTTCAGAACATGCCTGAGACAAGGTTGGATAAGACAGTTACTTCTTTACAAGGTATGCGGTATGGCCAAGCAGCCATTAGAAACCATTAGAGGAGGCATTAAGACAAGGATGTGCATGCGACCAGCTCACAGGAAAACTCCCTAGGGTGACAGAGATCAACAGGAGACAGGGTTTAGAGGACCTTAATGGTCTTCACTTATTTGCCCTCAAAAACTTTTTAAGCTTCCCCCATGGTGACCAGCCCCAGAGTAATGCACATGTAATTCAGTGCATAATGCAAGGAAATCAATAGCATTTCACCACAGACAGTTTATCACAAGACATCTGAAGTTTAACACATGAATAAGTAAGTGATATCCACAAAATGTAGCACTTAAGAATTCGATGTGAGGTCTCATTCTTTCCCGCAAATCAAAATGCTTCTTAGATCTTATTAAATATTTCAAGATAAAATAAAGTTGTTTTCAAAAAAAATCCAGTCTGGAATGGCTTGGAAAATTCCTTTTAAAATAATAAGCGTAATGACTTTGGTTTTCATAAGACTTTACAATTTATAAGCTGTTTTCACAGGGTACTTTGTTTACTTGTTTTTATTCCCATCTTCAAATTCTTGAGAATTAGGCCAAGTGAACCCAGCTGGCAGAGCAGGGACCTGAGCCAAGAGGAGAGGTTTGAGTCTCTAACACCTGGTCTAGTATGGGACTAGTCCCCCAAGGGACTGGGTTCTAATGGAGAAGGTGGGAAGATGGGAGAAGGATGACACTACGGTGCCCATCACTGGAATTCAGACCTTGGGTATAGACTTGAATTAATCACATCCCTAAATGCATAGGCTACGTCACCATCAATTGTAGACTTTTTGGTCTTACTGAGATAGGGTCTTTCTGTAGCCCCAGCTGTCCTGGAACTCACTATGTAGACCAGGCTGGCCTTGAACTCAGAGATCCGCCTGCCTCTGCCTCCCAAGTGCTGGGATTAAAGGCATGCACCACCAAACCCAGCCCTCAGTTGTAGGCTTTTTTTTTTTTTTTTTGAGACAGGGTCTCCCTGTAATCCCAGCTAGCCTGGAACTTGCTATGTAGACTAGGCTGGCCTCAAACTCAGACCAGGCATGGGCCACCACACCCCGCCCTCAATTGTAGACTTTTAACCATATCCCCATTCCATTGATATAAAATTCATAACAGGTCAAGCTCTTCCCTAGTTATTGGGGTAGAGGAAGGCAGGCATGCCCTAGGGTGCTGCTAATGCATAGCTTTTCATCTTTACTGTGAGAAGTCATTTACTTGGCAAAAATTCATCATATTATGTACTTAGGATATGTGTAGCTTTCTGTATGTAGGTTATACTTTATTAAATAATTTCATTTCAAAAAGTCCTGCTGGAGGCAAGGCATGGTGGTGCACCCCTTTAATTCCAGCACTCTGGAGGCAGAGGCAGGCAAATCTCTGTGAGTTTGAGGCCAGCCTGATCTACATAGCTAGTTCCAGGCCTATTCAGGGCTATATACTAAGACCTCATCTCAGAGAGAGAGAGAGAGACAGAGACAGAGAGAGAGAGAGAAACAATAGGTAGTAACAAAATAATAATTCTAACAATATGCTATAAAAGTTATTTAAATTCTAAATTAGGATTATTTATTTCTGGAATTTTTCATCCAATGATTTTGGACCAGGGTGCATTGTGAGTAACTGAAAACTGGAAAACCAATCATGGAGTGAGGGCTGAAGTATTAGTTACATCACTTCTATATGGTCACATAGTAAAATATCTCAAAACCTAGTAAAACATAACCATTTTATTACTCATGATTATGTGAGTTGGATGAAGGACCCTAATTCAGTCCTCCTAGGCTAAAGACAAGGAAATAAGTCCTTCAGGCCAAAGAACTGTACAAGGAAGTAAAAATAAAAAAATAATTCTGAATGCTAAGAACAAGCTGAGCTGACCTTTTTCATGCTCTTTGCCCAAAGCTGGAAATCATCCCAGAAATACCCCCCTACCTCTGCTTGGCACATAGCCTCCGCTTTTTTGCTTGGCACATAGCCACCGCTTGTGACGTTACTGCCGCTTTCTCTCTAGTTTGTGGTCTTTGTCTTTAAAAGAAGCCTGTGAACTGGGCTCTAGGCTTCTGCCCTCCGAGTGAGGCAGGGATCCGTTTTGCAAAACGTAATAAATCCTCATGCTTGTTGCATCTTCTGGTCTGAGGACTGAGTTATTGGGGAGCGGCCTCCTATGGACGTTGGGTACCCCAAACTGGGGTTCCAACAGGAGAATCAGGTTGACTTAGAACTTGCTGCATAGACCAGGCTGGCCTCAAACATATGCTGATCCTCTTGCCCCTGTTTCCCAAGTACAGGGAA